TGAGTCACTCTACCTTGGAGAAAATGCCGGAGTGGATTTTGCTTGATGTTTAGCTTTAGCAGAGGCACCGATGCTGACTTAAGAAGAATCGATTGACTGTAGAAAATACAAATAAAAAAACCTTCTTGCCTTTTATTTGTTCAATTTTAGTGCAGGATGGGCCTCTGTCTGATGCCAATATATTGGAAGAACCTTCCAGGGACTTGTAGAACTGCTCACAAGAATCTTTGATACTATGAAAAGGTGTTTTCACCTGTGGCAAAGCACTCAAGTATAAGAACTTTACTAGCTCTAGCAAACAAGTATGACTTAGAAGTTCACCAGATGGACGTCAAGACAGCGTTTTTAAATGGACAAATAGATCATGATATTTATATGGCACAACCGGAGGGATTCATTGATTCACAACACTCAGAATATGTGTGTAAGCTCAAGAAGAGCTTATACTGACTTAAATAATCGGCGCGGTGCTGGAACCAAACAGTCAACAATTTTCTAATAAAGAACGGATACAGAAAAAGCAATGCGGATAGTTGTATTTATGTCAAATCCATAAAGAACTAAAACGGATTTATTAGCTTTGTGATAATGGCAGTATATGTGGACGACATAATTCCTGTCTCCAACGACGTCAACTTGTTAAATGTCGAAAAGGACATGCTATGCAGACATTTTAAGATGACAAATCAGGGAGATATTCACTTCGTTCTTGGGATGACGATCAAACGTGAGAATCCAGGACACTATTAATAAATCAACAGAAGTATCTTTATGAACTAGGAGTTGCTATCACAAGGAGATTGCTGCCTTCAACTTAAATACATGTTATGCAACGTAATTGCAACTTCAATACAATCAGAAGAATAATAGAGCAATAGTCTATTGTTCCTCTGTGATACTTCAGGTAGCCGAAAAGTATTTGTGTCCAAATACTTTTGAGCTACCTGGGGTGATACAATGTAATTGCAATTTTGAGCATAGGTAGCACAACAATAGCACTATATCATGGGTTGTGATGTACTGCTGTTGTTGGGCTACTGTTTTCAGATGTCAAAATTCATTAAAGCATTAGCAAAAACACTCACAATTTTATATCTTAGCAATAAATTTGCATTTGAAGTTGCAATAGAAATTGCATAACTTAACATGGCCTTCAGATAATAAGTTGTTATAGATAACATGGCCTTTAGATAATAAGTATGGGTTTAACACATACAAATGCAAGCAAACTGGACAGAATAACAAAAAACAAATAGTTTTTTAAAATATACAGGTAAGTATGGCTTTATTTCTTTCTGCTGATATCCATCAAGGCGATGAACTTTTAGTAATCATTCTAGAGGCAAGCAATGTGCTTTTATGAGTTTATCGGCGCTTTAACCCCGACAATAATCACAGCAAAGTCTTTGGGTATCTTGGCAAAGACGTTGCAAGTTCTGTAACATTTTGTGGCAAGTTAATACAATGCCCTGAATAACCTCGTTGACCACCAGGTTTAACATACACTCTCATGATTGGCAAAGCACAAGCAATTAACATTTCCTCAACCTGAGTTAAATTTTGTAGTTCATCTGGAACATAAGAAGGTATCATCAAGTTTTCACAAGAAAATTTTTTAGGAGATTTTTTATCTCTAAAGCATCCTGAACACACATAATTATGGTGAACTAGGTTTAGATTTTATTGGCCATGCCTCATGGCAAACTGTACACTGAGCAACAGTGTATTGCATTGACTTGTTTATATTAAATTTTTCCCAACATTGCTCCTCAATTCTACCATTATTGCTTATATCAAACAAATTTAAGTAATCCTCTTTATTTATGTGTTGCGGCTTTGCCCGCTTTTGTTTTTTAGATAATCTGTCTTTGTCAAGTTTTATTTGCCTTTCCTTGTCAGTTTCTTCTGACCGCCTCCTTTTTTACACTTGTTTTCTTTTTGAAGTCTCACTTTTCCCCCCTATTAGTTTCCTCAGACTGCTTTCTCGTTTTAGACTCCTTTTCTTTTCGAAGTCTTGTTTTTTGCTCACTGTCAGTTTCTCTGACTGTTTTCTTTTTTTATACTCATTAGCTTTTTGAAGTCTTAATGTTTCTCACAGGCAGTTTCATGAGACTGCTTTCTTTTATTATACTCATTAACTTTGTTAAGTCTAGCTTGTTTATCATGATCAGTTTCTACTGAATGTTTCATTTTCTGGTATTCTCGATCTTTTACACATTTATTGTTTTGATCAGGCATTTTACACATACTGAATTGCACAGGTACAATTTCAAATAAGTTGGCATGTAGTCCAACTGACAGACAATACAAATATTGCTCTAATTCCAGAATATTATAAAATTTCATGACAACAGCAGTGCATGGGATTAGGATCAGGCATGCCACTAGAATCTCTAGCATGCAAGTCAATAAGATAAAAATAATCTGTTTCCTTAATCAAGGCCATCATATAACCTTCTAATATAATAATAATAACATAACTTTCATCTGAAAATATATTCAACAGTGCAGTGTGAATGTCATAGTAGTGGCACTCAATTTCTCGATCTGTTATAAAAGACCTTGAATTTCTGTTCTATATGTTATGAGACAAATTTTGTTTTCAATTTGTGCCTCAATCGGCTCCACCACAATGGGTGGATCAATATTACTTTGTGCCTCAACGGGCTCCACCACAATGGGTGGATCAACAATATTTTGTGCCTCAAGGGGTTTCACCACAATGTCAATGGGCAGATGATTAATATTTTGTGCCTCAACAGGCTCCACCACAATGGGTGGGTCAACAATATTTTGTGCCTCAATGTTTACCACCGTCACAGGTGATGTAGTTTTTTCCTGTACATGGCCAGGCAATATGGTGTGATTTGATCGACATAAATCGTACGAAAAGTCATTTGGCATATTCATGCAATATGAAACATTCACAAAAATCGCTAAATTTCCCACAGACAAAAAATCTTCATCCGATTCTAACATTATAAAGCCACTATTCAGCGCTTTTAGGTACATTTTGTCTCCTTGTAATAAGACATTATTAAATGTAATTTTTGACCACGACGATATTATTAAGGGAAATTTCAGGCTGTAAGAAGCGCCGATAAACTCATAAAAGCGCGTTGCTTGCCTCTAGAATGATTACTAAAAAGTTCATTGCCTTGATGGATATCAGCAGAATTTATTTTCAGGAATTTTTTCGTACAATGTCTTTGTGGTTTGCATTCGGACTCAAGCATGTCGAATTTGCATACACAATAAAAATTATTCGAAGTCGAAACCCCCCCTAAATCTCCCAACATACTTGAAGCTTAATTATGCCCCCGGAATTACTACAAACATCTTTCCGGACAAACACAAATCCAAATTTTGACAATACATAAATCGGCGCAAAAGCCTGGGTCGACTGAACTCTGGAGAAACCTCAAAATGTCAAGAATAGTGTGCTGCCTCGCTGACGCTCGGCAGCAACAAAGTTAAAGAGGAAGGAATGGCAAAGTAATAATTAAGTGGGAGTGTTGACAATATATTAGTATTATAATTATTACGTTTGACATTGCATAATCATAATTATTATATCACGTGACTATTCGACACGAGGTTAGAACATTGTAGAATATCAGTTCCTATTGCTGTATCGTACGGGTATACAATTTATGCTAAATTACATCGTAAATTAAACATATATATGGTACCAAGGAGTGTTTTACAATTTACTGCTTCCCAAAATATGACTGACTGAATGTTGGTGAGATAAATTTTAATGATGGAGGGAGGAAAAATCCAAGCACAGGCTCTTCTGCTGCACCAGTAACAAACTGAAGAATGTGGCTTAGATCCAAGGTTATATCTCCACAAACTCGCCTGCCTGCTGCCACTTCTCTTACATACCTTACAAACATTTGGTAAGCCTTTTTTTCCATCCTGAGTGCATTAGACCCTTCCTCTGAAAACTGTGGCTGCAAAATGTGCAACAATTTTTGCACATTTACTTTCTGCTGGGCTCCAGGCTGCAACAGGTAAGTCAGCATAGGCAGTTGTATCAGTGCCGATAGCATGCCCAACATCTCAAGACCACGCTGAATTTGGTATATACAAGGATCAGGGCTATTTTTTGATGATAGAATTCTTTGAAGGATCTCATCACCAATAAAGGCAGGCAACTGGCCATTTTGCAGCATGGCAACTGCTATCATTACTCCAACAAAATAGTAGTCTTTGGCCAGCAAGGGTCGTAACCCATGATCAAAGTATTTTTACTTGATTGCATGGTTCATCAATCTAATTAGGCCGTCAGCTAGCACTCTAAAAAATGGCCAGAAAATGAATTTCATTGCACACCCCGCTAAGCTAAAAAATAATCATATATTCTTATGGATTAAAATACGCTGAATTCAAATCTGAAAAGTTCCCGCTGATACACCCTGCAGTTTTTTGTATTTGTCGTTTAAAGTCGTCAAGATTCGCTGTTTCAAAATGCGATTCGGCCAAAATCACATCTCTCAAAAAGTCCCTTTGTCTACGAATTTTTTCTAATTGAGTTCCGGTTTCTGCTCGAATTACAGGCGAAAACCGTATGGAGTATCTTTTACAATTTCTCATGCATGCATTTTTACACAAATGCTTTTTTCAAAACATTTTTTCAATGTTACTCAATTTACTTAATTTGTACGATTATGTATCGAAGACTTGAAGACATAACATTTGGATAGCCCAAAAACTGTACCTAAAGTTTCTTTATATGATCACGCTCAGTATAGTTTATAGTGATTATTTTATTTTTAATAATGTCATTGTTGGCCTTCATTATTTGCCTTGGATTCCCATAATAAAGTACTTTGCTTAATACAAATAATTATGAATTCCACAATGAGTTGTTCGATCATATGACATGTCTTGTTCTACTTTGCATTGTTTTCTTTAATGGTCTACAATGCATATCACAATAACAACATTCTTTTGCAATCTCTTTATTTGTCACTGCTGTCATGTGGAAACTATAGTGTGCAGGGTGTATAAGGCAACCACATAATATTCATGAATATCGATTTGTTAACAGTACAAAAGGTTGAATATTAAGTGATTGCCTTTTTTTATACACCCTGTATAACACCATAATTGCATGTACATTAGGCAAAAGGAGATTTTAAATGCCAAATAAAGGATTAATATAAAAGGGCATACTAATAGCAGAATAACAGAACTAATTATCATCATCCTGATCATCATCTTCATCCGAGCCATAATCAATATCACTTTCATCATTTGCATTGCTTTCGACATTTTCACACTCACTGCACTGACATAGCTCAGTGCAGGGTAACTCTGCTTTTTGGCATGAACATCGCTTGGTGGAACAACCTTTTTTGCATCGACACATTACATACTCCAAAATACTCTCTGGAGCACATTCTTTTAGCCCCCATTTAATATCTAGTTTACTACCATCCAAAGTCCAGCCATACCCATTTGGTGACGGTGCAGAAATATTGTTGATGGTTGATCGTCTTCTTATGTATGCTTCATAGTTGACTCTGAGCACATGTTGCTGTAAGCTGTCCAAATTCGGGGAAGAGATTCTTCTGAGCATTTTCCAAGTTTAAACATCTTGTAACGGGCTTCATTCACTGACGACACATCCGGTTGGCCATATAAGTGACAAACATACTTTTCCAAGATGGCACACACTTCCTCTGATACATCCAGTTCCTCTCCTAAACTACTGAAACCATCCAAATACTCTTCATCAGCTCTAGCAGCTTGCCACGTTCTTGCTTTCCCTTTTCCAAAATCCACTGGTCGAGTCGGATCCTATGGGAGTTAGATTGAGGTTAACAAATTGCAATTATACAAGGAATCTGACCCAAATCTTTATGAAGAGTTATGTATTTTTTTTTTCGCTAAAAATTATATTATTCATACCTGTGAATAAATGAAAGCCAATAAGTGCTTTGCAGCACTTTTCACCATAGTGTTCAGCAACTTTATTAACATCAATGTTCCTTAAGTTGTTCCCTGTGCCAGTTTGAAATAATAATCTGGAATCAATGGTACTTTCAAGTGTTAAGGCGATAATAAAGACATCAGTATCAGGGCTTCTGATTACAACATTGTCTGAAAATTCTGCTGCATGCTTTGCATGTAAAAACATCTTTGAGTCAGCTTCTTCATGGTCAGAAGTAAGTTGTAGAACTTCTTCAACTACCAAAGTATTTCCGTCCTGTGGTTTATAGCAGAAACACTTTCAGAACAGGTTACATACAATTCTTCAATTGGTTCCAGTGCAAAGGCAGGGACTAATTTCCATTGCTTTACCAAAAATTTGATAAGTTCCTCTTTATTGCGACCCACATTTAAAAACTTTTTCCACTGTTTTGGAACTTTTTGATTACCATTCAGAATTGTAACTATTGCGTGCCAGAAGCTGCCCTATTTAACCTCTCTGCATTCTTTGTGCTAATCTCAGGGTACCTGTCCGATACAAAGTCTACTCGTTTTGAATTGTTGAACCTTGCAACACCGATAACTTTCTTCAAGATAAGGTCAGCTAGTTGATCAAATGTACCAGGAATATTTTTAACCGTAAGCATTTGAAGCAATGCCATAGCATCAACAATTGTGGTGCTTTCTTGTGGTATTACATCAATTAATGGTTGACCTGCTTCTGCTTCCAATATATGGAGGAGTTTTGACTTGGTTGTCTTATTAAGTCCACCTGAATCTGAAGCCAACGCTCTGGGATACGACCGAAGTGAGTATGTAAACACTTCTTGGAGGTCTATTTTCCGATTCTTTGCAATCAGTACAAGCCTTGCCCAAAATTTACAGTCATTTTTGATTGGGACTAGTTTACCAGAAGCTGTTTTAGTAGCTTTTAGTTTTGCCATGGTTCTAAAGGTTTTAAGTTTCATGGTGGTTATGGGAGAAAAAATGTCAGCCTTCTCACACAATATCTTTGTCTTGATAAAATCCTCTGCATTTTCGTTTCCTCTCTGATAAGCATTCTCTAAATCACCCGCTGTTGCTTCAGCAGCTACTATACCACTACATATATTGACAAGGTCGGTAGGACTGTCAAAACTGAAAGGATTGGACATTGAACAAATCGTTTCCATAATTTGCTGAACAGACTTCTCGTGTAACTTACAGCTTGTTTCATCAAGATCTTTTCGCATTCTAAGATTAAAATATTTTGCACCATAATTACACATTGGTGTTGCTTGGCTTGAATAATATAGCAGGGGGAGGTTGCGGTATTCAAAGTATCGCGATGTAGCATTTACAGTAGATAATAATTCTTAGGATAATTGTCAGCCTGAGTAGTTAAAGTATTTAACATTTGGTAGATATATTTTAAACAATGCTTTATTTAGATACCTTTGTTCTTCTCCCACACCTGCCATTAAACTGCACTGTCTTGTAATAGCACATCGATCAGCTTGAGCCAAAATCCACCGGTGGATTGCACCTCGATTAAGGGTCATACCAGTTATTCCACCTTTTGTTTTTGAATCCCGATTACAGGTCTGTTCTATTGCCTGATCACAAGCTATAGCAGAAAATCCATATCTGTTTTGCCGTTGAACTGTCCATTGTGTAGAGATTTCAAACAGAGAACCTAAAAGAGACAAATTAGCCTGAAAATTTGTATGGTATTCATTGTAGCAAGTATAATGGAACCTTGCATTTATGTTACCTGGGTGGCTTTTCTCAAGTGATATCATTTCAAGCCAGTATACAGTAAGGTAGCAAGCATAATTTATCCTATCGTAAGCAAAGTACCATGGAAGCATTGCTCGGATTGATGACAAGTGGAGCGACCAATTAGTTGTGCGTGTGGCTCTAACAAACGACAACAGTACATTCACCATATCAATGTAAGATGACCAAAACTGAAATGTTTTGCTTCTTTTACTTTCTTCTGCAATGTATCTTTGATACCTAAATAAGTAAGATATTGCACATAAGAAGCCTGCACAAAATTCCAGGTAAGGTCGAAAACAAATAGTGACAGTGTTAATTCTCTTCCATCAATGGGTGCTTTCTCAATATATGCACAACCCATTATAAATCCTACCCTAGCCCTAACCTCACTCAAAATTGAGACCCATTAACCTTGTAAAATTTATTCAACATCGAGTGAAGTGTCGCAAATTCATAATTGATTAACCCTAACCCCGTTTATAATTTATATATAATAGATTTCGGTTGCTCATATATTAAGAAAGTGCTCATCAATGATGATGGGTAATTAATCATTACAATGTAATACCCAATTATGTAATTAACCCTTTAACTGGCAATGCACTCAAATGTGACTGTATTACTTTGTGTAAAGCCAAACGATTAATTACTCATCGTCAATGGCAACATATTGTTTCCCCAAATTGAATAAAATGTAATCATAATTTTAATTTGATTTAATGACTTATCTTTCTTTCATATCAGTTATAATCTGCCCATGTGAAAGCACTTCACCCTCAAACTTTATTTGTTCTGGGTTGTCCACCAAACTTCTCATAAGATCAGATACAACATCGATTCCCAAACTTGAGTCACTTTCAATAAATGCATCAAAACGAAGTCTCTCCAGGGCTTCATACATCAACTTGTGAGCGCGTATACATCTGTTGTAGTGTTTCCCACTGAATACTCCATTGAGAGAACCTTGAGCAACAGTCTCTGACTCTACAAATATGTCCTTAAGACAATAATATAAGCATAATTTAATTAACCCAATGACCTGCAATTTGCCCGATATCCCAGACTTTCTGCTTTTGCTCTGTTTAACACCAGACTTTACCCATGGAAAGTTAATAAAACTTTAAACAGTGAATCATCGACCTTTAAGGTTGGAGAAGCACATCTGATGTGTTACCTGACTCTGACTGTATTTTTGTAATTCATTATACATAATGTGCTTTTCGTACTGAGAGGTCGATGTCTTGCATAATCATACACAACTGTACCTATTGCTATATAGTAAAATCTTGTTTTTACCTGTAATCCAGCCTCACGGAATCGACAAGCAATAGCAGAAGCAAATGACATACATGCGTGAAAGTCCCCCAAGCGTATTATGAACTTTGAAAGAAACTCTTCAGATTTCCACCGAATTTGCTGTGCTTTAGAATATAGGGCTTCATCGAAAATTAGAACAGCAAACCTCAACTGCAACTGAATGATACAACAATATTAATTACATTTCCACATTATGGCTCTTCTGTACAACAAATAATAATTATAAACCCATCACAGTGCAATACTTTTGCCTTGGTGAGTAAAGTTGTGTAGTGTTATAGACGGAGTAAAAAAATTAAGTAGTGCAAATTTCGATGCATTGCTGCATAATGGATTAACTAATTTAAATAGTACACTACCTTGTCTACGATGTCAGCACTCCTTCTTAGTATTGCATAAATTGTTGAAAGCTCAGTAACTGGCGAATCAACAACTGGAAGGTAAGCAATCTTTGACAACGAACATGGTTTGCTGTTAATGGTTGTATTGAACCCAGTCCATCCAGGCAAAAATTTGACTTCCTGATTGCAGAAATACTTACACAATACATACACAAAGTCTAATAATTGACTTGACTCTAGAGCATCTTTATATGAAGATAGAGATATGTTTAGATCATCTTCAGGGTTAAATAATTTTGGTGATTCTTTCTTCCCCAATATATACGGTGTCAATTCTTGCTGTGGAGCTTTTAAGGTCCGAACTGATTTCTTAAGACTGGAGTTGTTTTCAGCTTGAACTGGCAAGAGCTCATTTGACTTAATTTGTTGAATTATTATGCCATTACCCATGTGCGTTGTCCCAGCGCCAGTTGGTGTTTCTTCTAGGAAATCAATATTGTCCCAGACCATCATGGTAAATTTGTTTGAGGCTATTCCTGTTGGTATAGTTACTGAAGTTCCCAAGTTTCGAGATGCTAAAGCTGTGTCAAACGATCGGACTGTTGAATAAGACACAGAATTCCCATATCCATTTAAAATATTTGTTAAT